ATTTTCAGGATGAATATCTACCCTTTCTGTTGCATCTCACTTTGAATGGCAGTACACAGACAATACTCACTTTAGAGCAATGCAGCTTCTAATCGACTATGAGTACAGCATTGTTCAGCATCTTGAATAAATCATTTTGTAAAGAATTTTACCAGTTTCCTTTGAGAACTTTGTTACGTAGTATAGATTACCACTGTACTAGCCAACATTTTCCTGAACCCACCATTTTGGGTTTGTATTCACATTTCTGTTTTATCTTTTACCAACTTTCTGCCTTCTGCCCTTTGCATTTTGTGTTAAGTCTAGAATTCATAGGGAGACTTTCACAGCGTACCTGATTCTGTTCTGCTGTGTATACACTAGCTCCCCCTTACCTGCAGCCAATTGCAGTCTGACATATAATATATTTTGGCCAAGTGCAGTGGTTCACACCTGTAATCTCAACACTTAGGTAAGCTGAGGCAGGAGGATACTTGAGCCAAGGAGTTCAAGACCAGCCTGGGCAACATGGCAAGTGCCTATAGTCCCAGGTACTAAGGAGGCTGAGATGGAAGGATCACTTGAGCCTAGGAAGTCGAGATGCCATGAACCATGATGGCACCACTGTACTCTAGCCTGGGCAGCAGAGCAGGACGCTTTCTCAAGAAAGAAGATATTTTGAGAGAGAGAGAGAACACATTCACATAACTTTTTATTACAGTATATTGTTACAACTTTTATTTTACACTTTTTGAATACAGAGACAGGGTCTCACTATTTTGCCCAGACTGGTCTTAAACTCCTGAGCTATAGTAATCCTCCCCCCTTAGCCTCCCAAACTGCCAGGATTGCAGGTTTGAGCCACCACACATGCTCTGTTATGAGTTTTCTGTTTTATCATTAATCTCTTAGTGTACGTAATTTATAAATTAAGCTTATAGGTAGGACTGGCATGGTGGCTCACACCTATAATCCCAGCACCTTGGGAGGCTGAAGCAGGAGAATCCCTTGAGTTTAGGAGTTCAAGACTAGCCTGGGCAAAATAAATAAAAATCTAAAAAATAATAATAAACTTATAGGTATGTGTATAGTGTAGAAAAAAGCACAGCCTATCTAGAGTCTTGTAGTGTCCACAGTTTCAGGCACCCACTGGAGGTCTTGAAATGTATCCATCATGATAAGTAGGACTGCTGTATTCCTCTACACATTACAGTGTCATGGCCTGGCCTGGCCACTACCTAGTAACCTGGGGCAGCCATTGGTCTATTTTTACATCTATAGAATGCAGTAGTTCAGTTATAGGATTTCCAAGACTTCTGCCTGAATTTTGCTGGTTGAGATGCTTCCAGCACTATCAAACTTTTCTTTCTTTTTTTCTTTTTCCTTTCTTGTTTTTTGAGATGGAGTTTTGCCTTTGTTGCCCAAACCGGAGTGCAATGCGTGATCTCAGCCCACTGCAGTCTCCACTTCCCGGGTTTAAGTGATTCTCCTGCCTCAGCCTCCCAAGTAGCTGGGATTGCAGGTGCACACCACCACGCCCAGCCAATTTTTTGTATTTTTAGCAGAAACAGGGTTTCACTGTGTTAGCCAGGCTGGTCTCGAACTCCTGACCTCAGGTGATCCACCTACCTCAGCCTCCCAAATTTGGGTTATTGAACTGAGTAGGATTTGCCATGCTTTTTCTTGAAAATAGTTTTTTCATCCAAGGGCATATGGTTGTCCTCACAAGCAGCAGTGTTCTGGAACTGTTTGGTGGTGGGTGACCCATACTTGTGATAATCTAGAGAAGCTATGAGGGGATCCCAGGACTCTATCACTGTAGATTCTGGAGGTTGGTTGGAAGATCTCTAGAAAAGTCTATAAAGGTTCTGTTGCTGCTCAGTTCTGCTATGACAACTCTCTCTCCCAGAGAGCAGACTTAGTCTTTGTCAGGCTCCCTTATTCTCCTGTTTGTTTGCCATTTTCCCAGAACCTCCTCTCCAGGTTTCTTAGAAAAACAAAACAAAAAACTTAGCCGGGCACAGTGGCTCATGGCTGTAATCCCAGCACTTTGGGAGGCCAAGATGAGCAGATAACCTGAGGCCAGGAGTTCAAGACCAGCCTGGCCAACATGGTGAAACCCTGTCTCTACTGAAAATACAAAAATTAGCCAGGTGACGTGGCATGCATTCTCCACCTTGTGGTTTCAAGCGATTCTCCTACCTCAGTCTCCCAAGTAGCAGTAATCCCAGCTTCTTTTTTTATTCTTTTTCTTTTTTTTTTTTTTTTTTTTTTTTTTTTTTTTTTTTTTTTTTTTTTTTTT